TGTTCAGCTTCACAGCATATTGTCCAGCTTTCACACATCCATATACTTTATTAGTTATTGAGGGTTTTTCTGCTAGACACCTGGCCTCTACTTCTTGCTTTCTAATTAGTTTCCTGATACCAACTAACATCCTTGGAAAAGACATCATGCTAGGAAAGGTTGAAGGTCAGAGAAAGAGAAGAAAATTCCCCCAAAAGAATTGGCTAGAGCATATCAGAGATCTTAGAGATGGAACAGGATAGGGCAAGGCTCCGCTTCATTGTTCATCAGATCACTATGAGTTCATAGGTGACTCGATGGCAACTAACAAAATAACAACTTCCTATGTATGACATGACAGTAGAAGCTATGAAGAACACAAGATACTTTCAAGATGAACTAGAAAAAGGCCTTGACCTCAAGCAATCCACACAGTCCTTAGAAAGACAACGGCCCAACGCCCATGGCTAACTCAGGCTTCCCAGGTCGTAAATCTCTGCAAAAGGAAAATGCTCATCATTGTCCCTTGGAGTGCCTGGTAGATTCAAACTGATAACCTTTCTGTCAGCAGCTGACACATTACATGCTCCCCCACCAGGACTCCCTCAAGTAACAAGGCAGTCTATCTTGTGTATGGCCCAGGGTAGATGATGCTTGTTACTCTAAGTGGGAATGTACAAACTCCTAGTATTTCAAAGGAGGGAGCAGTCAACCTTAAAAATCTGTGGATCAGCAGTTTTTATTCTTCATTTTATATTCTAAACTTCCAATGAAAAACTTTTTGTGGGAGATCATATGAGTGTAATAAAAACAACTACTGGAGAACCCTTATTAGAATTTTTTTAAAATTTTGTTGTTGTTGTTTTGTACTTTTGAATCAGATCTGACTGGTACAGGAGGAGACTGTCCCTACTTCTCCAGCAGAGTATCTGGTGGATTTGAACCTAGCGCCTTTGGGATTGCAGCACAGTTTCTTGTCACTAGGCCACCAGTGCTCCCTACTAGAAATTTTAAGGCAAGGATCAGACTAGAACTATGGCCTCTTCCTGGTACCAGAGAAGTCACCAAGGTTCAATAATATATATCCATATGGGTACCATGTATTTTGAAGATAGTCTGACAGTCCCCGGGTCTGACTAATAATTGCCATGCAATTTGGGGGCTCTGAGGATCTCTGGTGGCACAGTCCAGGGGATTTGTATCCTTAACCCACAGGCGGTATCTCTCTAGCAGTTTGATTCTCCTCCTGAGTGATTTACAGCCTCTGAGAATGTGCTGGGGAACGGTTCGTTCACCTAGGAGTCAGTTCTGATTCAAAAGCAATGCGTAAGAGTGAGTGAAGAATTTGTGGTGGCCCAGGGCTCACGTGTTTTGCTGCTAACTGGAAGTTCAGTGGTTCAAATACACAAGCTGACCCAAGGGAGGAAGACGAGGAGTCTCCCCCACTCAAGATTTACAGCCTCAGAAACTCAATAAAGTGTTGTTATGAATTGGAACGAGAGAGCTGGACAATGAACAAAAATGACAGAAGAAAGATAGCTTTGAGTTATGGTGCTGGAGCAGAGTATTGAACATACATACGTTGGACTGACACAAGAATAAACAGGTCGGTCCTGCAGAAGGTGAAGCCAAGTTGCTCATTGGAGGCAAGGATTTTGAAGCTCCAGCTCACATACTTTGGGCATGTTGCCAAGAGGGACCAGTCCTTGGAGAAGGACATCATGCTTGGAAGGGTGGGGGGTGGTCAGTGCAGGAGAGGAAGACCCTGCATGAGATACACAGTAACTGGGGAAATGAGGGCAGGTGTGTCAAAGACAGTAAGACTGGCTCAGCATATTGTGCATAGGGTCGCTATGAGTCACAGGCAATTTGATGGCACATAACAACAACATGGATTGCAATCAACTCAAAGCCTGTGGAAGTGGGACTTGACCGCAAATAATATCAAAACAGCTTTAAAAGTACATCTTTATCCTTCGTCCGGTAGTTATTATCTCTGAAGATAGCATGGTACCATGAAAAGGGCGGACAGGACACTGGGTTCTACTCATAACTCTCCAACTAATTTCCAACATCATCTGACCTTAATTCTGTTCTGAGATGAGAGACTTAGTCACGATTATCTTCTCCAGGGTTTCTGTTAACTAGCTAAGTAGGGCAAAAATTACTATGGCTGTTTTACAGATAGGACACCCAAAGTCAGGACAGTTGCAGGAACCTGCCCCAGGTCCTAGAGATTATAACTTATATGCAATAATCAGGATTACATTGTGGGCAAGAATATCAACCTTAGGCACATACAGCACTACTCAAAATTATAAAGCGAACTAAAAACTTGTTAACGTTGCCGCACACTTTTAAATTGACCTTACTTAGAAACATGTGCATGACTGCAATAGCCATCATTTGATGCAATGGATCTATTCACCTTCATAAGTGCATCTTCACAACATACTCTCATGATTAACTGACTTGACCAAAAAGACAATAAACTCGCTTGGGGAAGCTAGATCTTTCAAACAATGCAACCTTGGGTTGTCAGAGCAACTAGAAGGTCGCAAACAGCGCCATGCTCAGCTATTTGCGGGCAGTGAAACCTCAGGCAAGCTACTAACCATCTCAAAAAGTCTGTTTCCTCATCTTTAAAATGGGCCTAACATATAATGCCATTAAAAAGACATGAGTTAGCATATATAAAATGCTTTGCAGACAAGTGGAGCTAGATAAATATTGCTAGGATTCTCTCCCTGTGTATTAAGGGGACTTACATGGGCGAGGTTTCTCTGGAGAATTACATAAGCATAATTCTATTCAAGCACTCACTACTCAGTATTCAACAACTCTCTCCATCAGACGTCAGAGCCAGGAGTGGGAACCGCGCCATCACCCCACCCGGGGATGGTCCCACGCAGCTCAGGCTTGAGCGCAAAGACTTCAATAGGCAGACAAGCTTCAGTCATGGATTTGGAGGTGAACTGGCAAACAGGGCCCTGAGTTAGAGGGGATTAAGAAGAGAAAGCAAAATGTAAAAATACCGCCTGGTTCATCACTGGGAAGTGGCATTAGATAAAAAACTGAAAGGCTGGGAGCCAGCCCCGGGTGGGCACGCTCAGCCCCCTCTCAGGCTTCAAACACGTCTTGACATCTCTCCGCCTGGAAGGGAGGCGACTGAAGCAAGTCGAGGCCTCTCCCTCGCGCCTCCCGCAGTGTGAGTACAGCCAAGTCTGCCGATTGCCCAGCTCAAAGCAGAGACGTTTAAAAAGGCAAGTCCAGGCAGTCCTCCACACCCCCTCTGGCTGCAACGAATGGAGAGCGGACCATTTTCTCCTCCTAGCCTCCGCCTCCACCCTGCAGAAAACTTTCACACTTGCGGCCAGTTTCTTGCAGAGCAAGACTTGCCCTCAAGCCTTTCCCTGCCCTCCTTGAAAGGCCAGTCGTGACTGGGCACGAGAAGCCAGACTTTCCTCCAAAACACCAACAAAGGACTATATTTAGTTCTGCCTTCTCCGCCTAAATTCCTCTTATTTCTTTCGCTCTCAGCTTGCAAACTGCAGGGTCGGGACGTGGGAGGGAGGGGGCAGGGAGCAGCGGAGCAGGAACAGCTGCGCCTCCACCTCCCAACTCCCTCCGCTATAAATAGCCAATCACAAGCCGAGGCGACTTCAGCCCAATGAAACTTCCCGAACTGGGAAAAAAACCTCAGCGGTGACCAATGAGGAAGACGTCAGGGGGGTGAGACTTGCGCCCTGGAGCCAATAAAGAGCGAGTCTGGGAGAGGTACTAGGAGTTGGCGTGTGGGTGTGCGCTGCGAACACTTCCTACTTCCAAGACCGAAAGCCTGCCCTGCCGACTGAGCATGCGTGGGCCGGCCGCCAGCACAGCCGTGACTCCAGGTCTGGATCCTGATCCGGGAACCCGGGTTTTGCCGGCAGCCGAGCGCGGCAGGCCGGGGCGGGGCCAGCTGGGTCCCGGCCGGAGCGAGGGAGGCGGTGGTCACTTTTCCTTGGGATTCTGTCCGGACTCACTTTTCCCGGTCTTTGTGCAGGGAATGAGCTGCAGGAAGAGTCAACTATAAAAGGCGGCATCATGCTGGTGCTTGTGGCCAGCAGTTCCACAATAACTGTGCCGTGGAGGGAGGAGTCTCCGCCCGCCCGCCGCCACATGACCTCTGCAGCCCCTAAGTGGGTGGTGGACCATGAGTGGACGCTCGGGGCTTGGGAATTGACCGGCTCTGCATGACGGGAAGATGCAAGAGCCCAGCGTGATGCATCCCAGAGATGGCCCGCCGCGCGCACGCGCTTCTCCCAGAACTGGGCTTTTGTGCACGGATTCCAGGCCCGTGAAAGAACGTGGCTTTTGTTTTCGCAACTAAAACTTTCTCAAAGCCCTCGCTGCCCTCGATCGCCCACCTCCCTTCCAGCCACGAGCCAAGTCCCTGTCCAGTGTCAACGGCGGGCCCCGCCCCCGGGCCCGCCCCCGGCCCTGCGAAAACCCGGAGCGCGGACGCTGGGCGCGGCCGGCGCGCACTGGGCATGCTCGCTCGGAGGGGCGGGCCGCACTGCGAGCGGCGAGTAGGGAGCTCGCGCCCCGCGGAGGCTGCGGAGAGCGCGATGGGCCGAGACGGGGGGCGCACGTTCCGCCGGGACTCATGCCACGCGCGCCCCAGCCCGGCGCGCACTTAGCAGCCACCTCCACAGCCCGCCGCCGCCTCCCCGAGCTCGGGGGCTGCCGCGGCCGGGAGCTCCGGCCGTGTCCTCGCCGAAGGTGCTGGCATTGTCTTCCCGGTGCACCGCCCGGGCTGCTGCCGCCGCGGGCTGCCGCGGGGCCCCAGACCCGCGCCCGGAGGACGCGCCGCCAGCCGGCCCGGCGCGCGGGCCCCGCTCCTCCGCCCGACCGCGCTCGCTCTCCTGGGTTTGCGTTTAGAACCGAGGAAGGGCAGTAGGGCGGCCGACCAGCCCAGCCTTCCCCGGCGATCAGCCCCGACGGGGCCACGGCAGGCGCAGCGCGAGCGCAACGGAGCCATGAGAGAGTACAAAGTGGTGGTGCTGGGTTCCGGCGGCGTGGGCAAGTCTGCGCTCACCGTGCAGTTCGTGACGGGCTCCTTCATCGAGAAGTACGACCCCACCATCGAGGACTTCTACCGCAAGGAGATCGAGGTGGACTCGTCGCCGTCGGTGCTGGAGATCCTGGACACGGCGGGCACGGAGCAGTTCGCGTCCATGCGGGACCTGTACATCAAGAACGGCCAGGGCTTCATCCTCGTCTACAGCCTGGTCAACCAGCAGAGCTTCCAGGACATCAAGCCCATGCGGGACCAGATCATCCGCGTGAAGCGGTACGAGCGCGTGCCCATGATCCTGGTGGGCAACAAAGTGGACCTGGAGGGTGAGCGCGAGGTCTCCTACGGCGAGGGCAAGGCCCTGGCCGAGGAGTGGAGCTGCCCCTTCATGGAGACATCTGCCAAAAACAAAGCCTCGGTGGACGAGCTGTTCGCCGAGATCGTGCGGCAGATGAACTACGCGGCGCAGCCCAACGGGGACGAGGGCTGCTGCTCGGCCTGCGTGATCCTCTGAGGCCGCGCGCGCTGCGCACAAAGCCCAACGCACCCAACTCGCTCAATGTGATTGCTCTTCTTGCTTGGAGATTGGAGACGACTTTGCATTGACCGGGGTGTCCCGGGAGCCTGGCTGGCCTCCGCCACCGGTGTCCCCCGGGCACCTCCTGTGCCCAGAGATGTCCTGTTCTGACCATCCGAGACCTTGGTGGAAATGTAGCTCTTTGCACCGTGTACGTTTTTTAATGATTTTGATTGACGCATATGTCCCCATGTAAGCGCCCCTTTGGCAGCTTCTCGCCCGGCAAGCAAAACTTTCATCCTGGAAAATAATGGGGGCGGGGTAGAGGAAGAGGCTAGAGAGAATGGAGGAAAGGGAGGTTTTGGGTTTTTTTTGGTGGTGGCTTTTTCTTGTCAACAACAGTTTTCTAGTTCCAACTTTTAAATACATGGAAGTCCGGGAGAAGCATATGAAGGAACAGGAGAGGAAGAACGTTGTGTTTTGTTTTGGTTTTTTTTTCCTTTTGAGTTTTTTTTTCCTTTCCAAGGAGGAGCTGGAAATGAAGATCGGGTTCCTTCTCTGCCAGCTTTGAAGGGCAACCCCGTGACTTAATTGTGATTCTGAGGATGTCTATGCAAAGTTGGATTCTTGTTACAGTGTATCCAATCTAAAGTATTGCACATCTGTACTGGGACTGTTAACACTGATGCCAATACAGTGTGGGGTGCCAGAAAGTGTCTGCTGATGTTTGTGGAGAAAAAAAAATCTATTTTGTTTACCTACTGTATCAAAGGGGAGTCTGAGGGGAGAATGGTAGTATTTTTTTTTATCAGCTGTGAAAAAAAAGTTACAGATCTGCACATTTTTGTGTACCAGTGTGTGTGTGTGTGTGTGTGTGTGTGTGCTTTGATATAATATTCTTGTTTTAGTTTTTCTTTGCCTTTTTTTAAAATTGTTTGTGTGGCAGTAACAGATTTTGATGACTAGCTCTTTAAAATACAGTACAAAGACTTCCTAAATGTGATTCAGGGCCCCCAGCACCCCTGTGTCTGCAGAGTGCCTTCAAAACTCAGCTGTTCCAGCCGGTGCCAACCTGTGAACTTCCCACCATAACCTAGTATCTGCTATTCTCCAGTCCACTTCCCAGTTCCCTTTTAGTGATCTTGCTAAACAAGCCAGGACAATAGAGCCTGTTGTTTAATGAATTTCTTTATTATTTCCAGTCTTTAAAACCCAATTTTCATGCTTTGCATTTTCTCTTTTTCGGTCTCTTTGTGTGTGTGTGTGCGTGCATCATTTTGTTCAAATTTTCAGGCATTAGCTCCTTCTTTGCATTTTATAATGGTTTACTGTTCTAGAATGTTCCTCCAGAAGCAAAGAGCAAAATTGACTATTGTGCTGTACCAAGAGGATTCCAACTAATTGTAATTTTTTTTAATTCCTGACATGTGTTTAACTGTTGTCTCTTCGTTTTAAGACTTTTAATACAAATGTCATTTTTAAGAAACAAATCCAAAACCATTGTTTGTGTTTCTGTGCTTTATATTCAGTGTCTTAAAGCAGACAGTGTCATAGCTGAACTAGACAGGATGCATTGCGTCCCCAGGAGGTGCCAAATCCAGTGAGGAATCAATCAGGTGACATTATACCCAGCTCCTAAAATGTAAAGAAAATCATCGAATTCTAGAAGTCCTGGGGTAGGGCCATGCCATCTGACTACAAGATGAGCAACTATTACAAATCTTACTCTGACTAAGCTCACTGAAATTAGGAAAGGGAGAAACCAATTCATGGTATTACCTAAAGTCTGGGAAAGTAACCATACAGCTGGGTGCATACACATTCATTAATTTGTTTTCTCCTTCCCCCACCCCCTCTGTTATGTCATCAAAAATACGGGGGAAATGATTTCCAATTTTTAAAAAAAATTCGTATGTGGTAGTGTCTTGCAGTATATACATGTCTGAGTATGAATTGTAGACGTTGGCTCAATTTTTTTGAAGTTTTCGTTTGGAACTCATTGGATTAAAAGAGAAAGACTTTATTTTCTTGCTATTATTTTATTCTCTGTGTTTTGTGCAGTGTGTTTGTCCTCTTAAGTTTTTAACAGTAGGAGGCAGTGTGAGCTTTTTTGGTGTTTTTCTTTCCATTTTCTTGAGGGCTTTAGTGGATGGCCTAACATCTGTAGAATAAAAGAAAATGTGTGTATACTTAATATTGTATCAGAAGCACTTGATGGACATTTATCTAGGAAGCACAGATAAAATCTTCCAAAGGGTCTTTTCACAAAAAGATGTATTTCATTGATAAAGCCAAATCGATAGGCTACCAGTTTCTTTAAAGCTGTATTAAACATATCATGCCTTAAAACATTGTTTTTTCCTGAGTATTCTGAACATTAGGAGTAATACAGAATTTTTCCTGTAACAGTCCTTGGGCTAATTTTTTTTTTCCACTCTTGGTCTCACTGAACTTTAATATCAGACTCATCTGGAAAGCAGTATTACATATATTATAAATGTTGAAGAGTGAGTAACTGTTCCTACTTACTCTTAGTGAGAGTCATTCTTGAATTTAAATTTGCTTGCTTCAGTAGGTCCAAAATGCTGAACCACCTAAAGATGGGTATCAAGCACTCTGAAGGATTTTTTTTTGTGACTCTTGCATTATTTTTTTGAAAGCCATTTGGTTTCAAATGCTGCCAAGCATCTGATTGATGAAATAAAGGTACTCCTGGGGAGCATTTGCAAATGGAAAATTGGATGTATTAATCACCTTTGCACAGAATTTAGCCACTTTGATGGCAGGGCAGAACATTTTAATATGCTTTCACAAAGTACTGTGAAATGAATGCTTTTTGGATTCTCGATGGATGCAATTTTGCATCGGGGAGATAGCAGTTCTGGGTTTGGAAGCCCTCTGTGAGCTTCACCAGAGAATTGAGAAGTATGGGGTCATTCTTTATTATTCCTTTAAAAATTGTTTTCTAATATGTTTACTTGGCTAATGGGAGCCTATTTTTATCATATGAAGAGCTGGGATCATTGTTTCAAGGAAAAAGTTAAGCTGATTTAAGTGTTAACGTGAGGGAGGTAGAGCAATTTGTTACAAGGCCTGTCAAAACAAATTGGGTGGGAAGGAGCCTTTATCTTGAGAAGCAAATGCTGGTTTTTAAACTTGACCCCTACTGTTTCTTTTACAGCTTTTCCTTTTGGCCCCTGCCTGCCTTCTAGGTTTTATGCCAGGACTTTTGTTTGTTTGTTGATTTTGTTTTATAACAGGGTCAGATTTTATCTTATATTGAATATTTGGTGCTGGGAAATTTAGATGCATGTGTAAAGCAACTTTTATGTTGTTAGCTGCTGAAGTAGACTCTACTGAATCTAATTTTGAGATCAGATCTTATTAGGGATTTTAAGCCTATAAAGTTACTTGCTTCTTGATTAGATAACATTTCCTGCAAGTGAGAATCTTAAAATGTTTCATCTATTGGGCTGTTGGGGTATTTTTGTAAACATTATTCACCGGCATGCAGTTGTACGCCCTTTAGAGTTATATTCTAATGTTTTTCACTGATGATATGGGAAAGTGGAAGGAAGCTATATGCGGCCTCTAGTCTTCAGAAATAGATGCAAAATGCCAACATCTTAAGTTTCATAAAAGTATATATTTTTCACATCTGGAGTAAATCCTTATAACTATGAAAAAATAATTTGGGTAGCACCTCAGAATGATCTGAGCATTTGATTGGGAAAAGTTGCTAATGGAAATTATGTGTGTTTGAAAATAGCAAAGTTTTAAATGCTTCTGATAGAATGTAAAACTGCATGGTCAAGGTGGACCTGACCCATAGCTGACTTTCTAGTGGGTTTTCAGAGGCAGTAAATCACATGGGAGGAGAGATTGCCTGTTCTTCTCCTGCAGAACCTCTGGTAGATTTGAACTGCTTGTTTATGGGTTGGCAGCGCTGTGCAATTACCACAAAGCCACCACAGCATGGAATGGTTACTTTTGAAAATTGTATTACCTGGGGATAGTGCAATCCTCAGAGACCTATTTGACCCAAGACTGTGATGATGGAGAAGGCTGGAGGAGTAGTACAGTCCAGTGATTCTCAGACTTGACCATACTTCTACTTTTCACTGATGTTAAATTGTGCAGCCCCTCTGGTAGAGTTCCCAGTTCAAAAGCATATGGGATAGTTGGTCTCTAGATTTTCATTTCTAACAACTTTGGGACCATGCTATGAGGCCCTCTCCACTGGTCAAGGTAGCCCTGATAGCTCAGTGGTTGAAGTGCTTATCTGCTAATCAAGAGGTGGGCAGTTCGAACCCATTGGCTGCTCAGAGAGAAAGATATCAGCAATCTTCTGTAGAGACTTACTAGCCTTAAACCCCCTATAGGATGATTCTACACTGTCCTGTGTTACCTTTGCTGTTGGAGCTTACTGAATCATAACTGATGTAGCTGAGCTTCCTAGTGGGTTTCCAGAAGCAGGATGTCTCATTGCAGGAGATCACCCATCTTTTTCCTGTTGAACAGCTGGTGAATTTAAACTGTATCATATAGGCTCCTTGTAAATTGGAATTGATAGTAGCAGGGGAAACCTAGTGCAAACTGCGAGTAATTTACTGAGAGTCACCGGGGCAGTTGGTGACACAAATTTAGAACCTGTTTTAGAGACCTGTACATTGTACAATCTTAGGATACACACATTTTTATTAAATTCTTTGCTTGAAGAACACACGTACCATGTACACTGAGACAATTAGGCTTGGAATATGAAATGGTAGAGACACTTCGCAGGCGAGGTTTGGTTTTTTTACTGCTCACATTATCCTATGAACAGACTTTGACTTCAATGAGAAAATAATCTTGATCAGCATAGAGGAATGACATAAATAATCAAAATCATCATACTTCCTAGCTAAATCATTGCTAACAGTGAATGTCTACATACATCTTTGCTTTGAAATTAAAAAATAAGCATTTTCAATTTTTGTGTGGAACAATGTATG